CTAATCGCGGTATTGTCGAATTCTCTGCCACCGTCTGATGTGATCCTCTCGGGAACTCCGTAAAACTGTATCCAGATTTGTAGGGCTTCCGCAACTGCATTGGCAGACTTGTCCATGACCTGATGTGCCATAGCTACTTTACTAAAGGTGTCGATGATCGTGACCCACTTGAACCCTTTCCAGGTGAATGTATCGATCTGGAGGTCTTGTAGCGGCATATTCCCTGTAGGTGTCTCTTCCTGAACTCCTCTGGGGGGGTGTCGATCATACTTTGTGCGCATACATACCTCGCATTTCCCGATGATTCCTTGGATAGATTTTTTCATTCCCCACCAGAAATACTTTCGCCGTAATGCCTGCAACGTCTCGTTGACGCCTCGGTGGTTGGTCTTCCCCTGGTGGTATGCCAATGTAATTGCTTGTTGCTGCTCCTCATCCTGTACGGTTTCCACTGCATACTTGCACCGGATGATCGTTCTATCCATGCCTATTCGCTCGGATCTCCACATCCGCTTTATTTTCTCCCATACCGTGTTGTTCCCAACATAGAGATGGTGTGTCTTTCCCGGTTCCGTGGCGTCCTTCAGTGCCGTACGGATTTGCTCCTCGCTCACCCCGGGTTGCGACCAAATGACGCGAATCCTACTTTTCCCGTATCTTCGGTAATCTATTTTCATGATCCCTGTTGTCCTGGTTTTCCAGATTACCTGTCTATGCTTGTCGTTGATGATTTCGTCTATTTCCTCCATCGCCACTGGTCTTTCCTCCGCTGAGCTATCTTCTTCCGGGGACCCCTCCCTGTCCTCTATACTGACGGTATCATCTGCCCCTTCACCCTCAGGAGTCCATTCCCTCAAGAATTGGCGCACGTCCCGCGATGGACCTCCCCCGTCCTCTTCTACCGCGTTGATCATGATGGCCCTAGAGAGCCAGTCTGCCACCACGTTTTCCTTTCCCGGCTTATACACCACCTCCATGTTGTACTGACTAAGGAATTCTTTCCATCTCGTGACCCTCGCAGAGGTTTCCTTAAGTTTTCCTACCCACTGAAGGGGTTTGTGATCGGTGTGGACTCGAAACTTCCTCCCAAATATATATGGCCTGAAATGGTCGATGGCCCACACTATCGCGAGTAGCTCCCTCTCTAACGCGCTGTACCGTGATTCCGCGCTCGTAAGTCGTCGGCTCGCGTATGCTATCGGACGTTCACCCTCACTTCTGCCCTGGGATAAAACGGCCCCCAACGCGTATTCGCTCGCATCGGTGGTGACGTTGAACTGCTTCTCAAAATCCGGGAACGCCAATACGGGTTCTGCCTGCAACCTATCCATGCATTTCCGAATATTATTTTCCATTTCCGGTGTCACCACGATCCTCGCGCCTTTCTTCAGCAAGTTATTGATAGGTACCAAGTATTCTGCCATCTCAGGTACGAATCTTCTATAATAATTCAGCGTCCCGAGAAGCCTACGAATCCCTTTAACGTCCCGTGGCACCGCCATTCGTGTGATAGCCTCCACCTTTGCCGCATCCGGTCTGACCCCCTCGCTAGAAATAGTGTGGCCTAAAAAATTGATCCGCGTTTGTCCCAACAGGGACTTCTCACTGGACAGTTTCAGCCCGAATTGTCGCAGCCTTTCGAATACCGACCTCAAATGCCCCACGTGTTCGGCTTCCGTTCTGCTAAAAATCAGCAGGTCGTCCATGTATACTTGACATACGGAGTCGTCGATCCCCCTCAGAAATTCGTCCATCAGGCGTTGAAACGTTATGGGCGCATTCTTCAGACCAAACGGCATTCTGGTGAATTCGTAATGCCCCCTTTCGAATGTAAACGCCGTCTTATGTTGGTCCTTCGGGTGCATCCGTATTTGGTGGTATCCCGCCTTGAGGTCCAACGTGCTAAACACCACGGCCCCACTCAACCTATCAAGTATATCCTCGAATCTAGGGATCGGGTACTTTTCGTCTACCGTGTTGTCGTTCAACCTACGATAGTCCACTACCACTCTGTATTTTTCCTTATTATCCCCCGGCGCTGCCTTCTTTTTCACTGCCCACAGGGGACTATTAAATGGCGAGGTGCTATCGACTATGATCCCTTGCTCCTTTAGGCTTTCCAATTCCTCCCGAATATGCTGCCTCAGCGCCTGCGGGTATCTCCTTTCCTTTACGTAGGTCACCCTATCTTGCTTCAGTGGAACTTCGTGTACCGTCTTCCCTGTTACCCCCAATACCTCGCCCTCCCTGAAGAAAATATCTACGAACTCCGCTTGTAACGCCTTTCTCCAGTCCTCCACCCTGTTCACCGCTCCTATCCGCACCCTTCTTTCTCTCGCGACCCCTATACATCCAAATTTCCTCTTTCCCAGCCTGATACTCCAAGCTCCTCTACGGTTTCTAATGCTTACCCCTACCTGTCCTAACAGATCACACCCTATTATGACTTGGTACTCCCGCGTCATGCTCTCTACCACATGCACCTTTAGCTCCCCCTTTTTCCCTGCCCACCGATCAAGCGTAATTGACGCTTCCCCTTCTACTTTACAGGGACCACCCAGAGTGATTAGCTGGCAGCCACAGTTTTGTATCCGGAGTACCCTCTCGCTCCCGCACACTCTCCCCAACGCCCCCCGAGTCAAGATAGTACTCGAGCTCCCTGTGTCCACGAGACACTTCACTCCCCCGTCTACTTCAATAATCGGCAACCAGCATGGCTTACCTCTAATATTGTTGCAGGTTGCTGTGCGGTCGCCTCTCTGCTGACACCCTTCTCAGATGCCACCTCGCTTCCTCCTTACCGCCGTCGCTCGTCGTTGCTCGCTCCGTTGGCTGCTCCTGCCTCCTTCGCCTCCACTGCTGGCTGGCTCGTCAGTCTCCGTTCCCGACGTCCCCGACTCCTCGGTTGCCTCTTCCGAAGATCCGTCTCTCTGCTGCATCCTAGCTCGTTTTTTCAACTTTTGAGCGTTCACCTCCATTGGCTCGTCTAGAGGTCTCTCTCTCCTGCGAAACATGTACGGGCACTGTCTGGCAATATGCCCTTCAGTCCCGCACTCGAAACATCTAGTGCGCGGACATTGTGCTACCAAATGTCCCGGTTTCCCGCACCCGTGACATTTTCTGTCTTCCCTCCGGGGTCCATTCCTAGGCCTGGACTGTCCGGATCTTCTCTCGCCCGTCGTGGCTTTTTCTCCGTTCGGGTGTTTCATTTCCCTCTTCCTCCACCCGATCTGGGCTGTCCGGGGTCGTCTGTCACTCACTCGGGTCCACCCTGGTTCTTCTACTTCCATCCGCGTCTCTTCCTCTCTTGCACTCAGATCTATCATTTCTTGGGCACACTCGAGGAACGATCGCTCTCTAGGCAGTCCGTCCCTTCTCCCAGTCTCCTTAGCCAACTGAACCTTGAGTATTGTCGAAAGGAATTCCATCCTAGCTTCGACCTCTCCCACACTCATGGTTTCACGCATTTTCTCAGTTATGCGGTTGTACTTCGCCACTAGTACCCCCGCATACTGTCCTCTTGTTTGGCGTTGGGACCGACACTCCCTAAACATTTGGAAGATATCTTCTTCCGGCGTCCATCGGCCCCCTCCGAAAGCCTTCTTCAAACGCTCCTTAATCACTGGCCATGGTGTCTCCTCGTCCGCTTGGATTTGGTTGAGGATGTTCCTCCTCACTCGGCACACGAGAGCTGCCTTCAGTGCTTCTGCGTCTCCCAGGTTCACGAGGTCCTCCGCCACCTTTGCTTCGATTCTTGATATGAGGCGGTCTCCACCTTTCAGGAAGTGATTAAGTTCACCTATCTCGCCCCCGAATCGCTCCAGGTCTGCGATTGCTCTCCGTAGATCCTGCGTGGTCGCTGCCCTTATCTTCATCCACTCCAATGCATTGGCGTGCGCCTCTGCCAATGTGTCCCTAGGTAAGGGAGGGATCTCTTGTATCTGCGGTACTTGAGGTATCTGAGGTATCTGCGGAATCTGCGGAACCTGAGGGGCGATCTGAGGAATCTGCGCTATCGGCATTTCCTGAGGTTGCGGCATTTCAGGTGCGTTCAACACTCCTGGTCGAATTATGCCCTCTGTCGGCATCTCGTCTTTTCCTTATGACTAGGAGAAGAGAAAAAAAAATTAAAATAAAGAAAGGAAAAAAAAATTTTACTTCCGTGTTCTCCTGACGTTCTCCCGGGTTTCGGCACCAGTTAAGCGTCTCCGGGCTTTGTAAATAAAAAAAAAGAAGGAAAGAGGAACGAGAAACAATACTCACGGCTTCTGAATTAACACTGCTTTATTCGTTCAATAATCTGCCTTATATACAATTGCTATGTTTATTTACATTACAAGATGGTATTAAGGCTGATATCGCCAGTCTCCGGTCTTTATCTTATATATATATATATATTCAATGCATGTACGAAAACTGAAAGGTCTTTGAAAGGAACATTATACCATAGTTTCAGCAAAATTGTTATACGTTTTTGCAGTAGAGTCTATGGAAAAAAAAATGTTTTCCTCTTAAAGTGCAGTGAGATTTCTTCAGTCATTGGTGGTCAAAACTCAATAAAAAATAAATAAATTAAAATGAACCAATATAATCTGTCCATTTGTTTCCGAGATAATTTTTGCAGACAGATCAATGTTTAAATCGTTTTTTTCGGACTCAGAGTTCTGAAACGTTAAGATCCGTTGAAAACCGCACCTCGTAAATTTTACCTGGTTAGAATATTATCCTTACCTAGAAGCGGAAGGAAAGTAAAAAGATAGAAGATAGCTTCAGAGTAGGACATGAGAACAAAATTAATATTATTTGTCTCTTAAGTTCATGGTTAGAGAGCTTATGTTTTAAGGTTCCAACAATATTATTGTTTATTTAGTAGAAGAAATAGCTAAACCGTTTTAAAGAGAGCTATAGGCTGTGATGGGAGAGAGGATGGAAATAATTAGAAAAAGTAGGTCGTAAAGTTGGTCCTGAGGCCCATGAAACTTTGACTCGGGCAGTAAGATTTATAGCGAAAAGCTATTTCCCCACTTACCTGATAGTTCCATATACTTCTTCGACTTTCCTAAGGAGTTTTCCGCAACGCAGGAGTAGTTGCCGAAGTCGGCTGCTTGGACGTGCTTTAGGGTGAGGGTGTGCTTGTTACCTCGAGTCTCCATGGTGCGCCGCTCTGTAGGGTCCAGCATGAAGCTGTCCTGGTACCACATTACCTGAAATCAGATAATGCTCATTGTTTGTTTACTCGTTATATATAAATACTATCAATGAACATTTACATAAAAGAATTTAGGCGGTGCGCGTATCACACAACTTTCACTTACCAACCTTAGAATAAATAAGCGAAAACAACGTCATGCCTTCATTTACCTTCCGTTTAAGACTGTATCGTACCAAACAATACTAATGATTGTTGGAAAAAATAGATAGTTTGAAAAAAAAAATTGAATTATTTGTGAAAACATTTATCACGAAACTCACTGAAAAAATTACTTAACGTTAGTAAATATTGTATATTATTAGGTTTATAATAGTAGGTCCTTTACATTTTTCATGACAACTTTTTTTTTAAAGAACATAGATAAGCGATGTATATCTTTAATAATCTGTTGTATATGTTTCAGTGAAGTAAATTTTTATTCATTTTAACATTTTAAAGGACGGGTGAAGGAAGAAGAGAGGTTTGGTGGGAGAGGGGGAGGACACTTTATGTCACTGTATGTGATCAAAAATAAAATATAATTTAAATGGAAAACAAAATTTGAAAATCTGTATCTCGTAATCGGAGAAGGGAGGGAGAGGGGTGGGGAGGGGGGCGCAGAGTTCGAAAACTTCGATTCTACATCTCAGTCATATTCCATACAAGAAAACGAAAAAGTCTTGTACCCCCATTCAATGCAACTTACGATGCACAAGGTCACTGGGCTGCTATAGAGAGAAGAATAGGTATCTCATGGTTAAGTACATCAATGAGGGTTATACCACTAAATATGAGTTATTTTTTAAATATTTTAGCTCAGTCGATTTAACTAGCTTATTAACTATTCATTCAGGATTAATTCTTTGAAAATTTAAAGCGAAATGAAAATATCTAATGTGATTTTTTAATGAACAAACTAAAAATTGATTGAAAATAAAAGAGGTAGAAGGATGAATTTCATGCCTATTTTCTTCGGGTAACGATCCGGATTCCAAGGAAGGTCCAATGGAGATTCCTTCAAGGCTGAAGAATGCAAATTGATAGAAGATGGAGTGGGATAGACCCTGAGCCGGCCATTTCTCCCCCTACTTGGAAGGCCTCGATCATCCGGTTCGAAAATGTTTATAATCTTTAAATAAAATATTGATAGAGCTGCGGTAAAAAAATAATTGAAGTTTTAATATTCATGAACTTTGTATTAAAAAAGTATTTATATAATATACAGATTAGTTCCTACTGGTAATAAATATACCAATATAAGGAGAACTATCATTTTGAGATATAAAAGTTAGCAGCTATTTTAAGTTTTTAAATTATTTCGAAGCAGGTAAACCATTAAGTAATGAATTCAATTTCTTTGACATTATGATTCCGTCTCAGAGGGAGTAGGTTTTTTTATTATACACGCTTAAACAGACGTTTCACTTTCTGACTTATCAGTCCACTTATTTATTTCACATATTGCATTTCTTGAGTAGTTGTTTTATTAATTACTAGGATTCGAGATAAAAGAGAAGAGAAAAAATAATAGAAATCTAAAAAAGTGTGAACAAGCACAACTCTAAAAATATCAGAACAAATACAATTGAGATTCTTTTTATTAAAAAAAAAACTAAAAAACTAACGAGAATCAGATGTTGTAAAACTATAGTTGATGGCTGATAAATAAAAAGTAAGATCGTTAAAAATATTAGATACAGATGTGATATTATGCTATAGAAAGTCTAAACAATAAATGGTTTTTGGTTTGGTAATGGTTTAAACATTGAATCTCTAGCATACAGGTGAACAGTCAACCTGCCAACGTTTCACCAATTCAGACATCAGGACAGAAAAAACAAGATCACATATATGAAAATAGGAAACCCAAATAAACAAGGTTATAAATGTTTTTGATAATTATAATGTTTTTTATGTTGTTGGTTTACATAATTTTTTTTTTCGTCTCTTCTAAAATATAGCCTTCCTCTGGTGTGTTTATGCTACCTATTTATATATTTGGATGACTTGGAGAGGTGAGTCGGTTATTATCTTTTTCTTTCTTTCTTTCCATTTTATTTTATTTCTGCATATATCGCCACTATTTGTGCTAAAGGTCATACGTAACGATTTTTTATGTTAATTATATTTGAGCTAAAGATGTCATTTTGTTGCCTGAATAAATAGTCTACTACTAAGGAAAATAGTATGTGGGGAACTAAAAAAATTCAATATTTACATACGACAATTAGCACTAACAGTAGAGATATATGATCTCGGTTCTTCTGTTCTGACGATGGCTGAATTAGTCTCGGATGGAAACGATGGACGATGGAAACTTGAGCAGGATTAGTCGAAACTGTTCATCCGAATGCTGTAGACACGAGGCTTCATAGTTTGGATTTTTCCATTTACATGTATATATTTATCGGGTGTTATAATGAAGTTTTTATGTCTCTTTTTCAGTAATATATTCATTTATAGTTATAGAGAGTATAAAATTCCGAATGCGGTTTTATAGAAAGAAAATGTTTTGAGTAGCAGCTCTTTTACTTTGGATTTGCAATATGATATTTATTCTGTTTTAATGATTTGGCAAAAAGTTGAAACTTATTTTTTTCTGTTAGTTATTTCAAATATAAAAGGGAAAAAATCTGCACTATATATCTTGGATTTGCGGTTATCCAGCAATATTATTATTAGACTCATTGAAGAAATACTCATACAGATTTAAACATTGCAGTTGCTCCGAAGAGAATCCTGATGACATATAGCTACTCAAACTTTATCAGTTGCAAATGAAAAACCATTCTACTGCTTCATCTTGAGGGAAGACGTATTCGGTTGGCAGACCTTGATGAAAAAGCTACCGCAACCGGGAAGCCCATAGTCACCGGCATCTTTCATAAGACCGGTAACAGGTTTTTATTCATTGAGATGAATAAAAGATGGCTGGGAGAGAGCGGAAGGAGCGATAGGCTCAGTTTTATTGCTGTTTCTGAGGAGGCTGTTACGATGATCTACAGTTGCCGGATTATATTCCAGCTGCGTCCGGCAGAGGGCCAACCCCTGCCTTCTTATGCTGTCCCGATCCACCATTGGCACCGTTTCTGAATAATTGATATTCATGAGATCGTAAATCACACTTAATAAATTACTTTATTTTTCTTTACTATTGTGTTTACATTATTTATCCAATCTATTTACAATAAAAACGAAAATGAAATTATCGGAATTCTAACAATGTTACATTATAACAATATAAACTTGAAATATATTTATTTTATAAATAACAAAATTTATTCAAGAACTACAGGCTGGAAAGACTGGAGAAGAAATCGGCTGGAAACTTCGGTTCAACAATAAAATTTAGGAAAATGAGAAGAAAAGCTCTGAGTAGAGGAGAATATGAATTCTTGGACACTTACACGGAATGGACGAAGCCAGATTATCCAAAAGAATAATTGACTCTTTCTGGATCAAGAAAAACAACTACGGCATGGATTAGGGAAGTTCATAAATATTTGGAAAGGTGCAACACCCGGAAGATTCAGATGTTGTATAAGAATACTTTTCGGACTGCAACTCAATGATAACTGTTGTTGTTAATATTTTGATAGTTATCATAAGATTTAAAAATAGCATTGTTTATAAACTGTAATACAGGTCCACAATAAGTAGGTAGGAAGTTACTGGAGTCCTGTTTGGTGAAAACAGCCCTCCAGTTGCAGGCATCCCATTACTGTAGGTATACCCGGTATTAATTAAGGTCCCAATCAAATTAAAATACTGAATCTTCCCTCCCCTTGGCTCAAGAATTTGGATCAAAGTGGGATCAGACCTGCCCGCTTTGTTACTAATCCTGATGACCGAGCCCTTAAATTCGTGGCATATTATTCAGTTAGAAAATTAGATGTACTGCTGGCATAAGGTTGCCCTAAGGAAAAGCGGGAAGAAAGAAGGAGAATAAAAAAAGAGAGAGAGAGAGTTCTCTGGTACCTCTCTCTCGAATCGATTCCAAGTAAAACAAGGAGCTTGATCGAGGAACAAGGTGCTGTTGTTGCGGGCCTTGCAATATTGACCAATAACCACAGCTTTAGGTGGTAAGGAGAGTGGGATAGGTATTGAGAGGGATTCTTCTACTTTTACTGTGTGGCTGGGATGGGATTCCGGATGAGGAGCGAAAGTTTAGGAAAGGTGTTTGGCAAATTCCTCGGCTTTATCTTCATCAGATGCTGCCCAGGAGCCATCATCTCGTCGAAGAGGGTGGGAAATATGATGGGATTTGAGGATTTTTCTGGTGATATTCCAAAGGGAATTATCATGAGCAGAGAGTGTGGTGAGGTAGGAATTGAATGATTGGGATCTGAAGGTGGCTAATTCTTTTTTTAATTTTTTACAGTGATAATTGTAGGAGTGGCGGTCGGCTGGATGTCTGGTACGTTGCCATAATAATCTGGCACGGCGTTTTATGTGGATTAGGTCAAGGAGGTGTTGAGGTAAATTATGTTTCTTAAGGATTTTTGAGGAGTGATCAGGGGAGGAAGCAGTCCAGACTGCTTCTTGAATTTTGGTAGTGAAGGAATGTACTGCATTGTCCAGGTCTTCAGAGGTTTTCAGGGTTACTCTGAGGTCAATTTTATCGGAGAGGATTTGATGAAAGAGTTTCCAGTTAACTGGGCCTCTGATGAAGGACGGAGGAGAGGGTTTAGGAATAGGAGCTAGTGATACTTGGAGTATTAATGGGCTGTGGTCTGAGGAAAGCTCGTCAAGACGGGCAACGGAATGGTTGAGAGCACCTAAACCATTATGGATAAAGAAATCGAGGATATCGGGATTACGGTTAGGATCAGTGGGCCAGTAGGTAGGTGAGTTGGGTGGAAGAAGGGTAAAATTTTGGGAATTGAGTACAGACAGCAATGTTCGACCACGAGAATTCGTGGTTCTTGAACCCCATTGTTGATGCTTGGCGTTTAAGTCTGCACCCAAGATGAAATGATGTCCTAAGGAAATGAGGAAGGAACTAAATTGGATATTGGAGATGGATTGGTTTGGAGGGCAATACGCTGATGCAACGGTAATAGGAAAGGAGAAGGTTTTGATTACGACTGCGGTGGATTGTAGGAAATCGTGTGTAGGCAGTGGGAGTAGGTGATGGGAGAGGGATTGGTGCACAATGACTGCAGTACCGGCATGTGCTCTACCGTCAGGATGGTCGGTACGGTAAGTTATGTATTGTGGTATTTTTAGGAGCTGTTTTTTAGTCAGTCGAGTTTCCGTTATTAGGGCTACGTCTACGTTCTTGTCTTGTAGTAAGGCTGTTAGTTCGTGTATGTGATTTCTAACACCATTCGCATTCCAAAGGAGAATGGATATGGGTTTGATGGAAGTCATTTAAGGATTTTTTAAAGGAGGGATAAGGTGAGATACTAGGTTAGTGAGAAGTGATATCAGTGGGGTAACAAGGGATTTAAATTCTGAAAGAAAGGATGTCAATAAGCTGGTTAGATCTGTAGCATTAGGCGGTGGAGGAACATATTGGATTTGATGTTGGTGAGGTTGTTGTTGATTAGGTACATTAGGTGGGATAGGATATTGAGATTGGGGTTGAGTTTGTTCTTGCGGCAGGGCCTCACATACATTAGTCGGGTCTCTACCCCCAAGTAGCTTGGCAAAAGAAACCTTAGAGTTCACAATTTTAGCGGGTCCTCTTCTTGGTTTAGGTGTATCATCAGGGTCCCTGGGTTTCATATATCTCGCTTTAAGATTTTTATAAATTTGGCAGCCTTTGTAGTTGGCTGGATGGCCTTCCAGGCATAGGGCACAGACTGCTGGTTCTGTAATTGGTTTATTACACTCGCCAGACTTGTGTGTTTTACCACATTTCACGCAGCGTGGTAAGTGGTGGCAATAAGACTTGGTGTGGCCATATGCTTGGCAATTATGGCACTGGATGAACTCTCTTTTTGGGTACGGTTTTTCGACCTTTACGCTGGTGTAGAAAATTCTATTCACATCGTATATTTTTTCGATCCCAGGCGATGGCTCTAGATCGACGAAAAATAAGGGCAATGGGATTTTATTCTTTACACCTGGTTGTTCTTTATTTTCTTTTAATACATTGGTTATCTGACGTATTTTGAACCCTAACGCCGTTAACTCTTCTTTAATCACTTCTGTTGGGGTTGAGGAGTGTAAATTTCTTATTACAACTCGTAGTGCTCTTTCCTGCTTCAACTGGTATGTGTGAAAGTCCGCGTTTGTGTCTGTTAAATATTTTACGATTTTTCGGTACGCTTCAGGTGTGGCCGGTATTATTTTTGTATCATTGTATTCTGTTTAGGCATGTATAGCTACCTGGACAGATTTTATTAAGTTGAGTACACAACAACTGGAAATTTTCGACAAAGATAGAAGGTGGGTGTGGTTCTCTGGGTATAGGTGCATCTTCCAAAGAGATTGTTAAAAAAAAAAAAAAAAAATCTGATACGCGCAACACAAAACTTTCACTTACCGTTCTACTTTGAATAGAAATTATTTTCTGGCAATGTTGGGCTATTCAAATTTTTTTAAAGTGCATTTGAAACGAAGCTAAAGGTTAGAGCTTACAGATAACAAATCATTAAGACCATTAAGATTACAAAAAGTCTATTTATTACATCGACGGTAGGCCTCTGAGCCTTTCAGCTTACAGAATGACTATCTCCAATTTCAACATTTTCCAGTAATGTTAATTTAGTGATATTTATAGTTGGAAAAGTTATATCTATAGAGACAGTAAGTACATTCTTGAGTAGGTGATTGCAGTGTTAAAATATAGAATTGTGAATAAAGGTATAAATTTTGCCACTAGATTAATTTAACCTAACTAGTTAATCATTTAATCTATAAATGATCATGGATTTTAGGACTATTAATAATTAAACTGTTATTTTCCATTGTAAAGTTTACTAAAATCAAATTACGAAATTTTCATTGAAATAAACGGCCAATAGATACCCTATTATTTAAATACAATATCATTTCTAGAGTTGTTAAACTATAGCAAATGTATTTTATGTTATAAACATATCCGTGAAATATTTTTATATTGCACTTCTTTTTTCATACAAGTAAAATGAAATAATATTTTAAACAATGGCATTGACATAATTCGTTGGATTTTAAATACTTCTTTTTCAAACTTTGAAAAAAATTAAAATTTTGCATTTGGTAGAAAAATCTCATTAGTAACATGTAATTTAAATAATGTTAGTTTTCTGAAATTATTATCTATATTTTTTGTTACTCCCCTTTTACAACATTATTTATTTGATATTATTTTTTCGAAAATTCTCCGCTATCCAACGATATATTATACGTATACCTTCTGACTAGCATTTCCGGAGATTCATTTTCGACCTGGATATAATTTTTATTTATTATTCCTTTATTTAATTATCAAATTCTTTCAAAAGTTGTATTTATCCATTTTTTATAGTTACTGTGAATAAGAGAGAGTTATTCTTAAAAAATAAACCAAATTAAAGGTACTTTAGAGGAAGATGTAAATAAACAATGGACATTTAAGCCATGTAAAGTAAAAACAATGTGGATTATACTTAGCTGATAAAAAAAAACAACTGAATAATACAATGAGTTAAAACAAAATCGTCAAAGCCGTTTTTAAGAAAATTGTAAAAATGTGTTTAACCGTTGCTATATAGTGGCACTTCCGATTAGCTGATTTCAAGGAAAAAGTTGCTATAATATCTTGGGAATATAATAATTTTAAATATGAAATTTCATTTTCTGATGACTTTCCGTTTTTGAGCTAAACTGCTAACACACAAGCTATTTTGCGGGACTTGGTTATTTAGACATGTATTTTCATTGAAAACTCAGATTCGAAAATTTTCGCGATCGCTATATTTATCCTTACAGTATATTTCATATATAGGTAAGTGAATGAAAAAATTTCGGAATGAGAACAGAAGCAACGATGTATAGTTTGTCTAATGTGGAGCTTTACGAGGACGTAAAAGAGGCTAGGCGAGGATGAAAATTTATTTAATGGCGGGGCCCTCCCTCGGAGTAATAAAATTGATCAGTTATTATCA